TTCTTTGGCAACACAGAAAGGAGAATTCTACTGCCTGAGGGTTATAATCCACAAGTGCGGCCGAAGGCCGCCTATGCAGAAAGGTGTTCTCTTCTCAAAAGGTGTTCAGCTTCTTTGGCTACACAGAAAGGGAAATTCTACTGGCTGAAGGTTATAATCCCTAAGTGCGGCCGAAGGCCGCCTACGCAGAAAGGGATTCTCTGCAAAAGGTGTTCAGCCCCCCTTCTTTGGCTACACAGAAAGGGAAATTCTACTGGCTGAAGGTTATAATCCCTAAGTGCGGCCGAAGGCCGCCTACGCAGAAAGGTGTTCTCTGCGAAAGGTGTTCAGCCACCCTTCTTTTGCCTGATAACCACCTTGGGATAACTTATTTTATTATTTTAAACCCCATAGATTCTGTTAGTTGGGTTATATTCCACTTCAAACTGCTCAATTTCCCTAGGTAAATTCTGTTTTTCTCCCATTTTCAAACGGTTCCCCAGGGGTCTGTGGGAGGCCCCGAAGGAGGGGGTGCGACTTTTCGTAAAGCGGGGGCTGTCCCCTTTCGAATGGGGGGATTTAGGAGGCCACGCCCCCTCCCCCTCCGCCCCCTACCCCAAAAACGACCTGCAAATAACTAAACATTTCCCAACTGTTTTCCCATATGAGGGTATTTTTTACAAAAAGTCCTTTAAGAAACTATTTTTATTTCTATAAAGCTCGAATTTTTTATGTATTCTCAAATCGATCCAGCTCACGTAAGTCTTCATATTTTTCCGAAATATTTTGGCAAGTCTTCAAACATACATTTTGTAATCCCGGCGGAAAACCCGAAACTTTTTTTTGGTGATGAAGTCTGATGTACATGCAAGTAAATTTGCTCAGTCTACATCTCCTACATTTGTAAATACATTTTTTGAGTTAAGCATGCAGAAATGACCACCTTCTCTTTTGTTAGGTAAAAATTTATTAGCTATGTACTAAATATGTAGTTTAACAATAGAAGCATGAGATGAAAATTTGTCATTTATACCATAAGCGGTTGTAAACTGTAAACCTTAAACGTTTTCTCGATTTTTTGGATTAATACACTCTTGCACAATAGGTACGTCGTATACTTCCAGTTCAAATACGCATAGGTACAATGCACATTGATTTTATTTATCGAATATGTTTTTGTGTACAAAATATATTATATTTCTACTATATCCTCAGAAACGATTAACGAAGAAACTACTCTACAGGTAAATTTATTGAGTTCATGCAAACGAAACTTAATAAAATTACCAAGGGACAAATTTTTAGACAAATTGCACTGTGCGCACAAACCACAGTAAATGAAAATCCATACATTTCCATTCTTTAAAAGGCAATGAATACTATTTTTTAAGGTAATTTACATAAAGAATTCAGATGTCCTCAACTTTAAACACATCATGCACAAGATATACAATTAGAAGCTTACACTTTTTATTTAAATTGCACTATTTAAAACTGCGCAATCTGGACAGAAATCACGCGCATAAAAAATATTTGATACACCCACTTTTACGATATACTCTGTCAAGCGGGATTTTATATAAGTTGTATTTAACTTTACAAAACTTTCTGCATTAAATATCCTAGCAATACAAAATTCTTCAATCATCACTTTTACGCCGCCCAGTGAAAACAAATAAGTCCGAAACTCTTCCGAATAAAAGTACCTGTAGGAGAGTTGCCATATTTTTATATTTGTTAATTATTCTGATTCAGTATGACCTACAGATGGCGCTGTTTTCGAAAACTTCGTCAGAACCAGTGCCCCGTTTGTTTCTTTTCAAGCAAAGTGAGTACACACTAATGGCCGGTTGCTCAAAGCCTGGTTGACACTAATCCCCGGTTATATGTATTATATGTATGGAGTCGAAAACGTCGATAACGATGTTAACCGGTGATTCGTGTTAACCAGACATTGAGTAACCGGCCCTTCGGTTAAACATAGTTATCGACGTTACCGCCTCCCTGTTGTATGCATGGAGTCGAAGACGTCGATAACGATGTTTAACCGCAGATTAGTGTTAACCAGACATTGACTAATCGGCCCTAAAAGTGAAATGTTTCGGAGTGACTTGCGAGGAAAAGTGACGTGATATCGAAGTGAAGACTTTCAAGTAGGAATGTCCGATATTTAAGAAAGTATCGATATCATGAATCGATTTAATTCGTTGCATGTAAAATCGATATGGCGATATATCGGGCTGAACAATATCGATATCGGAAAAATCGATGTTGAAAATCCTCTCCCAATTGAATGGAATATTAGACATGCCTTTCAACTCACCTAATTGTGTTATTTCCATCTTGTATATTTAACGAGGATTAAAAAGGCATGCCGGTCGACTGTATTTAGTGTTGCCAGGTCTTCGGCATGAGAAAACGTCCCTCTTGGTCTGAAAAAACGTAATTTCCTACCCAAAAACGTCTCTTTCAAATGAATGTACAAAAAAGTGCTCTTATTTAAACTTTTATTGATACAAAGGTACATATCGAGCCCTAACCTTCAAAATAACTTAAGCGACATTTTTTTCAAAATTTTCTTTTTGATGCAGAAATATTCCTAGTACATCTAGATCAGTGGTGCACAGCGCTGGCAGAGCTTCCAATGCAAGCGCAAAATTTTTGTCTCAGTATGTGTGTACTCAAAAAACAACTTGTACATGAGCTGCTTACTGCATGAAGTGCGAAAGCAAACTGGCTGGATGCTAGCGTCGCAAAAGTTCGGTAGCTTCGTACACACGACTTGTACAGCGTTGGTAATTTTTTTCTTTACTTATCAAATTTGGTAATTTGGTAATTTATTTTTCAATTTGGTAACTTTTTCGATTCGGTCCTACATGTCACATAGGTCAATACAGGAACTGATTCCACATTAGGATGTGTCCCGTAAGCGTTTCTTTTTATACAAATAACGAGTAATCCTGAAAGTTTCGCAAGGCGTAAAGTTGGTCCAGCGTTCCTTGGTTCTTGAATGGTGTGATCTCTAACAAACTACTTGAAAGTTGCTATTGCTATATCTACTGAGTCCTATCCTGGAAGGTTGTGGGTGGTCCTACCTTTCCTTGTCAGTTCAGCAGCTTTGCCTTTGCCATCAATATTCCCGTGTACTCCGGCAACCATATGAGTAAAGTTCTATGTAAATATGTACAAATCATTGATGTTTTTTCAAAACCGTCCATCGACCAGTTGCAAAACCACCTAATACGCCGTTTTCCAAAAATGCCATTTGGTAACCCTGAACTCCAGGCATCGAGATTTATGCATACAAATTTATAAATGGTTATTAAAACAACAGATTTGTAAAATAATAGCTAAAGAAAATATCGCCTATCAAAGCAATGCCTTCAAAGAAAACCCGCTTTTTCGCTCTCCTGCAAAATTTGAGTGCCATAAGATAGGCGGTTTCGCAATTGGTCGATTGGCGGTTTTGTAAAAACATCGACGATATGTTTTCGCTCAACAAGCTACGGTAATCAGTAGAGCACTTCACGTGAGTCGAAACCTTTCAGGACTGCCTTGAACCGTTGAATTTTTCCGTCATTTGTACAGGTATGTTGGCCATAACTGGACAAACGTTGATTTTAAAGTGCTCCAAATTTTAAGGTTTAAGTATTCGCATACATACAGCCATCCGAGTAGCCTCATAAAAAAGTCCAATGAGGCCAAGTCGGATGATCTCAGTGGCCAAATGAAATCCCCTCTACGGGAAATTATATGTATGATAATCCTCTGTTGCAATGAACGGTATCCATGACACTGCGAATGATCTTATGCCTTCAGTTGTTTTGTGACCTGAGCTTTGTATGAATGGAGGTGTATATCCAAATGCAAAACATACTATTCTGAGCCATAAGACAGTACCACGCTCATAAAACGACACGCAATCGACAAATTTGTTTCTTCGGCCACACTTAGTTTTGAAATCCTAACCAAGCATTTCTGGTGTTGTAGCTTTCAGCGCCCACGCAGATATAAAAATTATAGCATAATGGAGCGCTGATTGCCTGGAAAGCTTCTTGTCTTCAGATATATGTACAAACATATGTATGTATACTTCAGCACATAAAATAAGTTTGGNGAATCTTGTGGCAACACTGGACTTGTATGTGAAAGCCGAGTGGCTCCATTTGGCTCACGTGTGCAGATTTTTTAGCCCATTAAATTTCAGGGCAATAATGTGCAAGTTTAAAGGGGATAAATAATCGCGTTGATTTTTAATATTATATTTTTCTCTTGTAGAAATTTGGTTAGGGGCTCGGTTGTCGAAAATGCTAAATTACGTTCTGCTAAGAAGGAGCATAGCAATAGGTCCATTCAATATCAAAAAATTGTTACGAATTGTTACTAGTACTTGCAAGTTTTTACTGTAAATGCATTCAATAACCCAAAATATTTGCAAGAGGGAGCGAATTCGAGAGCATAACAACCCGAGAGAGCTGCAAATTCTTGCAAGTAAAAATTTTACTAGCAGGAATTTGCAGGAATCCAAAAGTAAGGTTATGTTTCAAATTCAAATGTAAGCAAACTGTTTAAGAGGATGATTTGATGAAACATAATTAGTGAAATGAAAATATGGATACAAAATTTAAATCTATTGTATATTCTTTTTCTTTTATGGCGATAGGAACTATTCCCAATTAAAAAGAAAATTGCGTGCTACAACTTAACCGTCAGAAAGTGTCAAAATGGCTTAAGTTGCAAGTTTTTACTAGTTTTGCGTTCAACAACTTTTTCTGAAAAATTTCTCTTGCTCTCAATTTTACTCTCTATTTTTCTTTTACGCTCTCGCTGCAAGTACTTACTGGAAAAGTTATTGAATGGACCTAATATTTCAGTATTTTTTGCGATCAGTACATTTTCAATGAAGTCTTAAAAAAGTCGCCTACTTTTTTTTTATGCTTTTGCGATCGTGCTTGCTGCAATAGATCGGCTCGTAACCTCAAGCGTTTACACAACCAGCTTTTGAACAAGGTCCAAGAATCAAAAAAAAACCTTTGGAGGAAGCAGCTGCAGCAAAACACGAAGATTGGAAAGGCTTATAAAGAAAATAATTCAAATTCAGTTCTACTTATAAGATTTAGTAACAAAGAAAAATTACTGGGAAGTTAAAAAACGTCATTTTTTACACAAAAAACGTCCAAACGTCAACAGGGTACAAAAAACGTCCAAATTACGTTAAAAACGTCAATTTGGCAACGCTGACTGTATTGTCAAAGAAGATAGGCAAGACAATAGGGGTCTTCGTCAAAAGTGATAAACTGTTGATCAATTTGATAAAATGATAAATTTATCATTTTGATAAATGAACCACTTTATCAAACGATTTAGGTAGATAAACGTATAAATTTCATCACAATTCAACCCTTGCAGACTGCCAGGTGGTCGATTTTGCTACGAACACATAAAAAGCAAATTAGCACAATGGACGAGGGAAGAATGAAACGTAACTAGCCAGATAAGTTAAATAATAAAAAATTGTGTGCAATTATTTACCAAGGTGCGTTCATGAAAGAATGCGGATAAACTGATAAATTTAAGCAATTTAACCCTTTATCACTTCAGAGTAAAAGTAATATTTAACCTTTATTAATTTATAATTTATTGTGTTCCTGTGCAAATGTAGTGCTGGAATATCTTTATCTTAAACGTTGAGGGAAGAAAATCAAAAATTACAGTTCACTGATAATATTAAAGCTGACGCCAGATAAAACCACAATGCCACAATGAACGCCAATAAAACAATTTTGTACTGCTTTTTTTCTCGTTAAAATTGCTGTGGATTTTATATATTAAGCTTTAAAAATATCAACAGTGTAATTTAATTTTATGTTTCTGCATTAAAACTAGAATTAGGACGAAACAAAATAAATATTAAACCGGCTGACTGTCAACGCGCGCAAAAAGATGGGAGTTGGTCATCTTTTCGCCTCGCGCTGCAGCTGCAGCGATCTATGTTTATGGCTTTTGTGGGAACCCCCTCTCCGTGAAAAGGTGTAAATAGGTGCGTAAAGTGACTGTTTGACAGATCAACCAGGATTTTGTGAAGCAATATTTTTTTCGTAGTATTTTCCATTTCCCGTCATCTTGCCGCTATCAATATTGGCTAAAATACAGTTAAAAATGCTGAAAATAAGCAGAAAACCTAAGTCAATACAGTTAGTTTATGAAATTCATTTATTTTATTCGCCTACAATTTTTTTCATTTATTTTCATTATTTTATCATACATTTTAATATAAAAATTTCGGCCTCTCGGCAACACTGAAATTTACGAGGTACATTGTATTTTTTATTTGCCTTGTAATTTTACGAGGGGCTCGTAAATTTACGAGCATTACGAGGTTTACGAGGCTTTTACGAGTTTAAAGGCCTGTATGCAGCTCTCAAGAAGAGCAAAAACTCCATATAAAATGACGTACAAGAAATGGCTAAGAAATTTTCTTGAGTCAAATTTCCTCAAGGCAGTACGCAGTTCTTAAGAAATTTACTACGCTTTCTACTACGGTTTTCTAAAGTTTTTTTGTGAAAAAAGAGCACAGGGCAACCCAGGTTTGCAACAGAAATATATGCCCGTTCCATTATTTCTTGAGGAAAGAGTGAGGCAACAGGCTGTGAAGTATCAAAAAATGTCAAAATTCCTTGGGCGCACACACGAAATAATGGCAATTTTTTCT